CCTGTGGTCCCAGCTACTTGGGAGGCTAAGGGAGGAGACTCGCTTGAGCCCAGGAGTTGGAGGTTGCTGTGAGCTGTGAAGCCACAGCACTCTACTAAGGGTGACAGCTTGAGACTCTTGTCTCCAAAAATAAAAATGAAATTATAATTGAATAGAAGAATTTCAGACTTTCCAATCCATTTCAGAAGAAGGCCTCACTCTGATACCAAAAGACCTACAGTACTTTCTAGTTCACTACTAAAGATAGCCTGGGTGTTAATTTACCTACAGTCGTACAGACAAGCTGTTTATAGACCTAAAAGAAAGGGGAAGCAGATGGTGGGTAAAGTAAAAGGGTCTAATTGTTTAGGTTCAATTCCAGCCTTGAGTCCTTTGTTCATAATATTTAAGGTCCACTAATATAAGACATGATCCAAGGCTTTAGGAAGTTACTTCCCTATTTTTCTAAATACAGAAGTTTCATCTGAAGATAGCATTTTTCTCTTCAAAACTAAAATAAACTAGATGCAAAATGTAATAACACCACTAATTTAGAAACAGTCCTTTAAATATAGGATTTTGGCTGGGTGTGATGGCTCACGCCTGTAATCCTAGCACTCTGAGAGGCAGAGGCGGGACTGCTTGACTTCAGGAATTAGGGATCAGGCTGAACAAGAGCAAGACTCTATCTCTATTTTTAAAAGTTATATAAATACAGCATTTTCTGTGAAATGGTTCAAATGACATGGTAAAATCCATTATAGTGCAGCCTGGTTAGAATCAGCTCCTGCTGACTTATAATCTGCACAACATTGGTCAAATTACTTAAGGCTTCCAATACCCCATTTCTTTTCTGATCTGATACAGATACAGTATCTGTAGCATAAGACTACTGCAACAAGTAAGGAAGAAAACACAGGTGTGGGGAAATCAGCTTCCTGCAATGCTGGGTAGCTACAGACACAGTGTTTAGGAAGGTCCTTGATTTGGTTTCTCCCTGCAAATGAGTCTGACTCAAGAGTCAGGAGTATAGGTACATGTGTCTTCTTAATAGTATCACTTGTTTATGTAAAGTCTTCCTGAATGGTAACATAATCCCTGAGTATAAAAGGACTGTGGCCCAGCAAGAGTTAAGTTTCTCAAATTCAGTGAGAACCTATCTTGAGTATTAAGTGTCACCAGCAACTGTGTACTGCCAGTAGGGGTTCTGGAGGTCAGAGGAGGCTGTGCTGAGATAAGGTATATCTGCACCTGCTCTGTGGAACCACCACAATTACCAACAGAGAGCTATCTCCTGGAGGAGGAACTGTAACCCACCTAAGACAATGCTGCATGTATAGCACTGAGCCTAAGAGAAGAAACAATAAATCCTAGTTACTGCTCTCACCTTCCCCTACCAGTCTAAAAAGCACCAGCAACCTGCTTCTGAGGGAGGGGACCAAAGTAGAGAGAGTGACATTCTCTGAGGCACAAGCTCGCAAGACACCAAAGTTAAAGGTAGAAGAGGAAAACCTGCAGCAACCCATTCCCCAACCCCACAGCAAAAGGCTACTCTAGAGAAACTTTTTTTTTTTGGAGACAGTCTCATTTTGTTACCCTGTGTAAAGTACTATGGTATCACAGCTCACAGCAACCTCAAACTATTGGGCTCAAGCAATCCTCTTGCCTCAGCTCCTGAGTAGCCAGCACTACAGCTGCCAGCCACAATGCCCGGCTATTTTTAGAGCGAGGGTCTTAGAACTCCTGTGCTCAAGCAATCCACCCTGCCTCAGCCTCCCTGAGTACTAGGATTACAGGTGCGAGCCACCGTGCCCAGCTACTTGAAGCCAGAAACTTGAAGCCAGTGGTAAACAAAGATAACCAGAGCAACAACAAAACCTAAAACCAGCTCAGTTCCTGACTAGACTGACTCAATCTCCCACACTATCAACCTAACAAAAGAAGTGTGCCTTTCCCAGACATTAATACTGTATCCCTCCTTCTCTTCTGTTCTGTATACAATCTTCTGTATTCAGTAGAGAGTTATAATCTCTCAACTATCAGGCACAATGTAAGGGTAAATGACAAACCTCCTGGTGAGGAACACAACTACAACTTGGACGCTACCTAACAAATGCAAACAATGTAACCTAATTCATCTGTACCCTCATATTACGCTGAAATTCTTTTTTAAAAAGCAAACAAAAAAACTTAGAATTAGAAGAAAAGTACAATGTAGAAGCAGATGAAAAAAGATTTAATTTTATAAAGTTGATGATGTCTCCCCTTCTTGTCAAAAATTATACAACCCAGAAGACCACATAGTGGCATATTTAATGTGTCTAATTTTAGTAAAAATTCTATAGAGAGATTCTAGAAAATTGACATATATACTTAGATTTTTCTAAAATGATAAAAGAATATCTGATAATATGTTTAAAAAAGACTAATATAATAATTTATCTTAGAAGACAATGAAAATCCTTTTGAAAATATTTATTTAAAAAAAGGTTAATTTACCAACAATCTATAAATACTTACCCAATCTTATTCTTATATAAAAATTGCAAATTATACATTTTTATACTGATACTAATTTAATTACTTTAAGTGGTACATTCTTGCTTTATTAATAAAAAGAAAAAAAAATAAGGCCTATCAAAAAAAATTACAATAAAAAGGCAAGAAAAAACTACTCACTGCCAAAAGACAAAGTCAAACTCGACCTAGATACTTGAACTAAAGAATTTAAAATAACCATGATTGGTATACAAAAGCATCTGGTGTAATACATAGATAAGAGGTATGAACAGATACAAAATTTTAGAAAAAAAATGAAAACCCTAAGTGTCAAATGAAAATGCTAGAAATAAAAATCATGGTGACAGAAATGAAGAACATTTACAATGGCTCATAAGTACACTCAACACAGCTAAGGAGAGAATCAATGAACTTGAACATGAGACACTGAAAATTACCCAAAATGAAACCTAAAGAGAAAACACAGGATGGGGAGAGATGAACACAGAGCCCAAGAATTGTAGGATGGTGTCAAATTATATATGCATAATTGGAATCCCCAAAGTAGGGGAGAATAGGATATAAGAAATAACTGAGAATTTTTCCAAAAATAATAAAAGATATGAAACTACAACTCTAAGAAGCCCTTAAAAATCAAATATAAAATTTTAAAGGCAGCCAGCAGGAAAAAGACATCATATACAAAGGAACAAAGATAAGACTTTGTTCTTACAGCAGACTTCTCATCAGATAAATTATGCAACCCAGAAGACAATGTAGTTTTGACATCTATAAAGTGCCAAAAGAAAAATGATCAACCTAGAATTCTACACTTAGTGAGAATATCATTTCAAGGAAATAAAGACTGTTTCAACAAACAAAAACTGAAAGAACTCATTACCAGCAAACCTGTACAAGTAATGTTAAAACAAGGGTGTCCAACTTTTTTATTGTCTGCTGGCACATTGGAAGAATAAGAGTTGTCTTGGACCACACAGTAAGTACACAAACACTAACGAAAGCTGATTAGCAAAAAAAATTTAACAGGTCTGTGCATGCTTTTCATGATATCCAACAGAATAGATAAGCAAAAAAGTCCTCACAAAATCAGCCCACAGACTGAAGGTTGGACATCCCTGTGTTAAGGTTAACACTAACAACCATTCCCTTTAACTTGAGTTAAAAATTAAGTTCTTCAGACAGATGGAATATAATACCACTCAAAAAGAAATGTCAAAGGCAAAATAGTTGCAATGTATTGTGGATTTTCTCATATATGAAAATAAAACAATACCACAAAATAGGGAAAGGAAGAAATAGAAGTATTCTGTGGTAAGGTTCTTATACCATACATGAAGTGGTATAATATTTATGTATATTTATAATATTTACAGGCAAACTGTGACTAATTAAAGTCGTCACAGATGCTCTTCAACTTACAATTGGGTTGTGGCCTAAAGTAGTCACAGTCACTAATTAAAGTCACAGAGGCTCTTCAACTTACAATAGGGTTGTGTCCCAATAAACCAGCAGTTCTCAACCTGTGGGTCCAGACCCCGTTGTAACAATGAAAATACATCCTGCATATCAGATATTTACATTATGATTCATAACAGTAGCAAAACTACAGTTAGGAAGTAGCAATGAAAATAATTTTATCATTGGGGGTCA